TAGATAACAGTACTTCAGATGAAAAGAGAGACTTTGAAAGGTGGGAGAAATCGAATCGCATGTGTATGATTATCATAAAGAAAGCCATTCCGGAAGCATTCAGGGGCACTATGTCTGAAAGTATCGTCACTACTAAGGAATTCCTTGCAGATATTGAGAAAAGGTTTGTCAAGAACGAAAAGGCTGAAATTGGTACGCTTTTGGCAAATATTATCTCAATGAGGTATGGTGGTAAAGGTAATATTAGAGAATACATTATGGAGATGTCTCGTACTGCTTCAAAATTAAGAGCACTTAAGCTTGAACTCTCTGAGGGATTGCTAGTGCATTTGGTTTTGTTATCTCTTCTGGGACAATTTAACCAGTTTAAGGTGAGCTATAACTGTCAGAAAGAGACTTGGTCTCTGAATGAGCTCATCTCATACTGTGTCCAAGAAGAGGAAATGTTGAAGCATGATAAGGCTGAAAGCTCTAATATTGCCTATACTTCCAAAAATAAGGGCAAGGGAATAAAGAGGAATAAGGATAAAGAAACTGCAAATACAGTCCCACAAAAGAAACAACAACCGACACCTAGTGTGTCTAATGATGTCAATTCTGACACCACTTCAGGTTGTTTCTTTTGTAAGGCTGAAGGGCATACATAGAAGCAGTGTGCCAACTACCACGCTTGGCGTGCTAAGAAAGGTATGCTATTTAATTTGGTTTGTTCTGAGGTTAATTTAACTTCGGTTCCTGGACACACGTGGTGGATAGATTCTGGTGCCACAACTCACATCAGTGTGTCCATGCAGGGTTGCCTCCATTGCCGAAAACCAAGTGATGGTGAAAGATACATCTATGTGGGTGACGGCAAGACAGTTGAAGTTGAAGCAATTGGAAAATTTAGATTATTGTTAAAAACTGGATATTATTTGGATCTTGATGAGACATTTGTTGTTCCATCTTTTAGACGAAATTTGATTTCTATTTCTGTTTTGGACAAATTCGGTTATTCTTGTTCATTTGGAAGTGGAAAATTCAGTTTGTTTCATGATTCAAAAATGGTTGGTTCTGGTTCTTTATCAACTTATGATAATATTTATTTACTAGATACTATTGCTTCATTCAATGAATCTCTGCATTTAAATACATGTGGTGTGAAAAGAAAATTAACCGATGAGAATTCAGCTACGTTGTGGCACAACAGATTAGGTCATATCTCCAAACGGAGAATAGAGAGACTTGTGTCCGACGATATTCTCAACCCCTTAGACTTTACAGATTTTGACATTTGTGTCAACTGTATTAAGGGAAAACAAACCAATAAAAGGAGATTTAAAGTCAATAGGACTTCTGACGTCTTAGAACTTATACATACGGACATTTGTGGGCCATTTCCTACAGTTGCTTGGAAGGTCAACAATATTTTATAACGTTCATAGACGATTATTCAAGATATGGCTTCATATATCTCATTCATGAAAAATCACAACCATTGGACGTGTTCAAATCCTATAAGGCTGAAGTTGAGAATCAACTCAACAAAAGGATTAAAACTGTTAGATCTGATCATCGTGGTGAATACTACGGTCGATATGATGGTTCAGGTGAACAACGTCCATGACCGTTTGCTAAATTCCTAGAGGAATGCAGTATCGTCCCACAGTACACTATGCCGGGTTCGCCCACTATGAATGGTGTTGCTGAAAGACGAAACAGAATGCTTAAGGATATGGTAAAGAGTATGATTAGTCATTCTACCTTGCCACAATCTCTATGGGGTGAAGCACTAAAGACTGCAACATATATCCTTAATAGAGTTCCAACTAAAGCAACTAATAAGACCCCTTATGAACTTTGGACAGGCAAAAAGCCCAGTCTAAAGCATTTGCACGTTTGGGGGTGTCCAACTGAGGCTAGGCCATATAGGCCTAATGAAAAGAAACTGGATGCAAGGACTATTAGTTGTTATTTTGTTGGATATTCTAAACGATCAAGAGGGTATAAATTTTATGATCCCACAAATAAGTCTGTTTTTTAGTCTGGAAATGCTCGGTTCTTTGAGGATGTTGAGTTTGCGGGGAGAGATGATGTTAGAGACATTGTCTTTGAAGAGGAATATGTTGATATTCCCATAGGTGTTGTTAGCGTTGATCATGACTCTGCTCCTATCACCGTTGAGGACACAAATCAAGACAATGTCAGAGAACCTCCTGGTGAACAAATTCTACAACCTCAAGAACCTGTGCCATTAAGAAGATCCACGGGAGAAAGAAGAAACGCAATACCAGATGATTATATTGTGTTTCTCCAAGAAAATGAGGTTGACATTGGAATGATGGAAGATGATCCTATCAACTTTCATCAGGCCATGGAAAGTTCAAATTCTCAAAAGTGGATAGATGCCATGAATGAGGAGATAAAGTCTATGAGTGACAATGACGTTTGTGAACTCGTCCCGTTGCCAGAAGGTATGAAACTCATTGGTTGCAAATGGATATTTAAAACCAAGAGGGATTCAAGAGGCAATGTGGAAAGATTCAAAGCTCGTCTTGTTGCAAAAGGCTTTACACAGAAAGAAGGCATTGACTATAAAGAGACTTTCTCTCCAGTTTCTTCGAAAGACTCTTTTAGAATTATAATGGCACTAGTGGCGCATTTTGATCTTGAGTTACATCAGATGGATGTAAAGACAGCGTTTCTCAATGGCGACATTGATGAGACTATTTATATGGTGCAGCCAGAAAACTTTGAGTCCAAAGACTCAGAGAATATGGTTTGCAAACTTAAGAAATCCATCTATGGGCTCAAGCAGGCATCTAGACAATGGTATTTCAAGTTTCATCAAGTGATCATCTCGTTTGGTTTTGAGATGAACTTGGTTGATGATTGTATATACCATAAGTTCTGCGGGAGTAAGTATATATTTCTGGTGTTGTATGTCGATGACATCTTGCTTGCCAGCAACGATATAGGCTTACTGCACGACACCAAGAAATTTCTAGCTAAGTATTTTGAGATGAAAGATCTTGGTGTCGCCTTTTTTGTGTTAGGGATAGAAATACACCGAGATCGCTCTCGGGGTACATTGGGCGTATCACAAAAGGGCTATATCGAAAAGGTTCTCAAAAGGTATGGCATGCAAGACTGCAAACCAGGAGATACTCCTGTTGCTAAGGGAGACAAGTTTAGTCTCAAACAGTGCCCTAAGAATGATTTGAGGAAATGGAAATACAGAAGATTCCTTATGCTTCAGCAGTAGGAAGTCTAATATATGCCCAAGTGTGTACGCGTCCGGATATTGCGTACATTGTGGGTGTGCTTGGTAGATATTTGAGTAAGCCGGGGTTAGACCATTGGAAAGCAGCCAAAAGGGACTTGAGGTACTTACAGAAAACAAAGGATTACATGCTCATATATCAGAGGTCGGATCAGCTTGAGATCGTTGGATATACCGACTCTGATTTTGCTGGATGCCAAGATACTATGAAATCTACTTCAGGCTATATTTGCTAGCTGGAGGAGCTGTGTCTTGGAAGAGTGCTAAACAGTCTATTATAGCCTCTTCTACCGTGGCTGCAGAATTTATAGCATGTTATGAGGCGTCCAACCATGGAGTATGGCTTCGAAATTTTGTCACGGGGCTGCGCATAGTGGATGGCATTGAAAGACCACTTAAGTTATTTTGTGACAATAAATCTGCTGTGTTGTACTCCAATAACAATAGGAGCTCGTCGAAGTCAAAACATATTGACATCAAGTTCCTAGTTGTTAAAGAACGAGTTCAAAGTGGACAGTTGTCTATTGAACATATCGGAACAAACTCTATGATTGCGGATCCGCTTACTAAGGGATTGCCACCCAAAACGTTTCATGAGCTTACAACTCGTATGGGTGTAATGCCTTTGATAGATATTCAGTTTTAGTGGGAGTTTGTAATGTTCTTTGATATAGATACATTTTATGTTACTTCAAATTTATGAGTTTTTTTTAGGTTATGCAGAGTTTAAGTTTCAGTTATTTCACACTTTGATTATGGAATATGGTTGATCTCACTTAAGTTTAAGGTGGACCAAGTTGGAACAGACATGTGATGATCACATTTCATGTAGTTTCCATGCCACACATCCACATCATAATCCATGTCATTCATTTGTATTGACATTGTGACCATTGATGGTTGAGTTGCGATAAATGTAACAAATGCCGCTTTGATCCTATGTTGATGTGATTGATGGACCAGATTGATTAATGATACTTTTGGTTATGACAACAAATTTGAGCTCATAAGGTTATTTAGCAATGCATAATTATAAAGTTACACATATTGCCCAAGTGGGAGATTGTTGGATCCTTAATCCAACATTGGGCTAATATGTGAAATAATTATTGTATTGTGGTTGTCAAATAAAGAAGCTCAAATAAAAGTGATCAATTAAGGTTTAAAGTTATTGGGCTTTAAAGTATCAATAAGTTGTTGGTCTTTAATGTGTAGAAACTAATGAGTCTTGTATTTTAATGATGAGCTAAAATAGAGATGCTCAATGTAACTTAATGTACATAAAAGGGTTGTGGTCCCTAGGTCATACAACATCGACAGATTATCTCTTCTGCATCCCATCGACAGAGAGGTTACGGAAAAAAGATAAAAGGTTCTCTGAAAGGTACAGTTCGTATAGACCTAGAAGGCCAAATCCCCAAATCAATCATCCATGGATTCAGGTACGCTTCCGCTATTCAGTCTCGATTCTCAATTATTCAATATGAAAACTTCTGGAATAAAGCGATGCATTTCGCCTGAAGTTAATTCCAACATATTTAACTTATAAAAGAAATTCTTATTAATATTAAAATTTAAGAATATTTTTTTAACAAGGTGGTGCACTAGTAAACATTAACTTTGTTTATATATCCATCATTCACCAAATATATATATCCATCATTCACCAAATATATGCTAGAAAGTAGAAAGACAAGTCACCCCTCAAAAGTCCCCCTCTTGAAAGAAAAATCCCAATCTACACTTGAAACTCAAGTCTTTGAAGCTCCAAAGGAAGCTCTTGACGCCCTTCCCTTATCAGCACAAGATCCCTCGAATCCCCTTCCAAATAAGCCTTCAAAAACGCAACCACAGCTCCCCCAACAAACCTCCTCATTGGCCCCCGACTCTCCCCGTTCTTGCACAACAAACACGTGGCCTTGCCGCGTAAACCTTTCGTATCATCATCCAGCACGTCCAAATGCCCGTAATCCTTGGCCACAAAATAATACGCCGGCCGACGGCACTCCCTGTAAAAGTCCTCGTGATTCATGCCGTCCGGGGCACACGCCGGGAAAAGAGGGTTCCTTTTCACGTGGCCTAACCCGGAACCGACTATGAGCGCTCCCATTCCTCCTAAGTCGAATGAATGGGGAGTGTAGGTTAGGACAGGTGGGGGTGTTTGTTTTCCTTTCTCCATCCCGTCGACTGGGTCAATACCTAAGACCGCCGAAAATTTTAAGGAAATGTTATCCTTATCCCGCTCGAGATGGAGATCGAGAGATGATTTGGATATGTTTAGTAGTAGTGCGAATGCGACTTTGGCGCCACGGCTGTGGCCGGCTAATCCTAGCTTGTCCAAGTTGGGACGGACTTGAGGAGGAAGGAAACGGGCCAGCTCGCGATATACCCATTTCGTAATATCGGCCGTCGCCTCGATTTCTTCACTCGCATCCGCCCCTGCTATACAGTATAGCTATGGTGGAAGAATTTGGGATTTGAAACAGAAACATCCACCCATCAGTATTCACAAAATGTTAGTACTTGTACGGAACAAAGGCGAAGTATATGAAATCAACCTGCGGAGCAATGACGATGAAACCATGTGAAGCCACGTGTTGCAGAAGCTGAGAGTAGAAGGAGTTGTAGAGGAGGTAGCCATGGAGGAACAATAGCACCGGGTAAATTCCACCCTCTGTCGGGCTTGAAATCAACAGCTGTTTTGGTGGACATTTAGAGATATTTGGGGCGCATGTTTGGGGTTCAACTTTTATGAAACTTGTGCTGTAATTGCCAATGGAGAAAACATCTGGAGTTGGAACTGTGTCTGAGTTCATGACAGTGGCAATTTTGCGAGCTTCTTTGACACCTTTTTTGCTTGTAAGGGGATAACAAAGTTCAAAATTTTGTGTGGTCCGTGGGATGCGTGGTGGCTATAAAATGTGTACTTTGTTAAGTGGGAAAGCAAGAAATTATTTGCATTCACATATTTTTTGCATTATTACAACTACTAGATATCAAGGTGATGGATGCTTCATGATTTGGAATTATTGTAAAATTAAACCTTTATGAAGTTGCTACTATGTATGTACGAATTGTTTTCATTCCAAAACGTAAAGCAAACAATGTAGAATTGAACCTTTATGTAGTTGCTACTATGTTATATGTTGTTTTCATTCTGAAACGTATTTACGGTTTTTTTGGCGCAGCTATCAAGCTTTTGAGAAAATTACCTCGTTATATAGCATACAGTGTTCGGTTTTGAATTCAGGCTCTTGAGTAGCTCGGCTCTAAAATGGAGTTCCCTCAACTCGACTTAAATAGAGTAGGTTGAATAGGTCGATCAAGTAGAGTGGGTCAAGTGGATATATATATATCAAGTGCGTTAGTTCGAATTATCGATCTATGACCTATATGGCCAGAGACCTAGATAATTGAGGTGGTTGTATCAGATGACTTGTATTGTTACTTAGGGTTACTCTAAGTCGACCTGGTAGAACCATTGATCGTATATAATTTACAGATGTAGGATTGTGAGATTCCGGAGAATCTCAGATAGATGGAAGAGATCTAGCACAAGAAGGTATGTGGATATTTGGACCCCTTGAGAAAATAAAGTTCTTAGGCAATAAGGTAATCATCCTCATACATAAGGGGTGGGGTATGATTATTGGTGGATTACGTTCTATTAACCCTTATCATATACATCTTATACGAAGGACTGACTTGGTCATGGTGAGGCTCTACGTCGTTAACCCTCTTGATGCTTTTTCAGGTACTCAGACGAGAAGGTCAAGTACGAGATTCATAGAAGATGGCCATACAAAACAAGAGTTATTTGGTATATCGACATCAAAATTGGCGTCGTTTGTGGGAAAGCTTAGTACAGCCACAGTTGGAACGGGATAGTGTTTTTCCACAATTCATATGAAGTTTTAGTCAATATAAACGTTAGGGAAAGAAAAAGCTAACGCAGAGAAGGGTGGTGATGACACTTGGATGGGAAAGCGACCTCTTGGGCTAGGCCCACCTTCGGGGTGGCACATTAGGGAGAAGTTGCCAAAAACCACGATCAATGATTGACTATGTTGAATCGAATTTACGTAGCTAATCTTATTGCTAGGGATAGGGGATGATTGTTCTTGTTTAACGTACATTTGTCGGGCTTTGATTTGTTCATGCTTGTGTGAGTTGGATTGATTAGGAATTGATGAATTTGTGTTCGACAGGTTGACATAATCGAAAAGTGACATTTCGATCTTGCTATTGGTGACAGTTGGATGTTACTTTGTCGAGTTAGGGTTTGTCAATTCTATATGATTAGTTGATTAAACACCTTCTAATTGACTTAGCGGCTTTCAGAATCGAAAGGGGAGAAGTCGTAGAAATAGGCTCAGATTAGATAGATGATTTCGTAATTGAATAGTCTATAGGTTTTTGATTGAAATACGTGCGTGTCGATGACCCGTCCCTTGTTACGAGAAGTTATTGGGATTGGGATAGTTGATTTGTTTAGTATGCTCAAGATTGTACGTCTATGTTCAATCCCTTGTTACGAAGAGTTATTGGGAGCGAACCGCTAGATGTCTAAGCGAGAGTGTCAATCTCGAACCAAACGATTAATGGCCCAATTTTGTTAGAACTTGAATTAATTTTCCCCGATTCCCTAGCTTCTCCATCTTCATCTCGTCACATTTTTAGATAGATTATTGTTTTATTTTATTTCTTAGTTTATACTTATTCATACCCATATTTGATTAGAGTGTTTAGGATTTTCTTTCATTTTATGTGTTATCAATACCAAAGCTGAATTCCGAACCGCTTCCTCGTGAGATCGACCCGGGGAATAAATCTTTTGATTCGGTACTCGTAAAAATAATAATTTGTATACAACACTAGGGTTGTCTTGAGCCAGGATACACGCCCTATCTCGTTTATCAGCGAGAAGTTGTTGGGCCCCTGCTTGCAGTAAAGCATGTATGATGTCGAGTTTTATGTCGTGGTCTGTGTTGTGCATTGTTGGTTCAATTTCCTTTTCTATTGGGAGTTTGTTCTTTAAATAGACCATGAGGTGTTGTGGAACCTCGCTTCCCAATATAATATTTCGACACGCCATGCTTCATGGATGACATTTCTCCAGCAAGTTACTTTTCATGTTGAAACATCGCTCGGGGGCGTCTAGTCGCGTGGAGGATGCTTTGACTTGTCGTGCTTTGGTGTTGACAGAAATACATGTTTCGGTTTTGGGATTTGACTTGCTTCGGGAGGTTTATGCGACCGATACCTTTTTTTAGCCGATCTTGGTGCGCCTTGTGTCCAGTCCTTTCGAGGACTATGTGCTATTCGATGGGTTTATTTCTCGTGGCATACGGCTCTATCTGCCATATTTCACTCTCCATCTGAAGTTGATTGTTGACCTTTATAGCTCAGTGCACGTAGGTCGAGATCGTTCGATTGAGTTAGTCCAGCACTCTTTTTCTTGGCCATCATTGCGGCGTGACGTGACGCGATTTGTGGGGCACTGTCGGGTTTGTCAGGTGTCTAAGGGAGTTGCTTCTAGTACCGGTCTTTATCGCTCTTTGCCTATCCCATCATAACCATGGTGTGCGATGAACATGGATTTTGCGCTTGGCTTCAGCGCACCCAACACGCGCACAATTCCATTTTGTGGTGTATCGCTTGCATGGGTCACCGTCCTCTACTGTGTCTGACTATGATACTCGATTCGTTAGCTTCTTTTGGAGTAGTTTGTTGCGATAGGTTAATACACAGTTGGATTTTAGTAGTGCCTATTACCTGCAGATGGATGGTCAGATGGAGGTCGTTAATCGCTCGCTGGGGAATTTGTTGCGTTGTCTGGTGGTTGAAACTTTAGGAGTTGGGATCAAAGGCTCAGTCAGGCCGATCTCGCCCATAATTCTATGGTTAGTCGAGATACGCTGTTTTCTTTTTATTAGGTGGTCTACGCAGTGCAAATGCATGGTCCCGCAGATTTGGTGGCGTTGGCGTCGACGGAGCCGCGCGATTGTCAGGTCGAGGATTTTATGGCGGACTTGCAGCAGACTCATGCGACGACTCGTGCGAATTTGGAGGAGGCCACTGCTGCCTATATGCGCCATGCAGATGCTTGTCGATGCCACATGGTTTTTGAAGTAGGTGGCTATGTTTGGGTTGTGTTGACGAGGATCAATTTTCTGCTCATGAGTATAATAATTTGTCCGCCTGGAAGATAAGTTCGGTCGAGATTGTGGAAAAGATCAATCGAAATGCCTATCACCTACATCTTCCGTCGCACATTCACACTTTCGACGTGTTCAACGTAAGCATTTGGTGTCGTTCCTTGGTGACAACTCTGACGAAGACAAGATTGAGTCGGATTCGAGGGCAGATCTTTCTCAACCTGGAAAGAATGATGGAGACGAGATTGTGCTTGCCTTCTTGGAGAAACATTATCGTCTGGTGTCTTTAAATAATTATTTATTTCCATTTTTTATAATTTTTATTATTATTATTAGTTGCATATTTTAATTTTGTATGTGAATATTTATTTATTTAGCTTATTCATCTTCTTGTTAGGGAAGTTATTTATTTAGGTATTTGTGAGATTCTATTTATTAATTTCTTCTTCGTTATAGAAAATTGGCCAAGTTTACGAATGAAAAATTTTGTCTTTAAATTTATCTCTCTCTTTTTTTTTTTTTTTTTAAGTACAATTTACTACGTCATCCATCATCAAGATAATCAAAAGAATTCCATACACACAATAAATTATACTATACTACCAATTAAAAAATCTCCCAATTCAGTCGCACAAAGTGCTATTTGGAAATGTGGATCACCAATCTTGAAGTATAGAGACATCCACCAAACTTACGGGCCCCGGTCCTGGGACAATTAATTATTGCATCTATTATCCTCACAACAAAATATTTAGAAAACAAAACTACATTATTCAAGAGGATAAAAATACTTAAATTGAATTATTCAAAAATTCTATTGAATTAAATTCTATGGAACAACGGATTGTTTTATGTGGAATTATTCATCATTTAATATATTGACATATATCTAAAGTGTATTTATTATAGGACACATGTCAATATACTATTTGTGAAGAAGTGTGAACAACTCCATAAGTCGTGTCATTCGACGGCTCCATAGCAAAACTGTTGAATTTTTACTTAAGAACAAATAGTCATTTAATTAACAAAAGGGGAAATTTACATATCAAAGACAAATCCCATCCCAACCAAAAATAAATAAAAAAAA